ATATATATATCCACTTATCTTCACCGAATTTCATTATCCACGGAATCGTGGCCGCAGTCAGTCATCGCGAAAGTAAACTACTGCGTGGAAACAATTAGCCATTAATATTGACTTGAAATTGAAAAAAAGCAAATTAACCGTCTTCCTGGTCGTATCCACTTTGTGATGCTGACTTTTCAAGCATTAGCCCTTCATCAGAGCAAGGTGGACTGCACGGAAATCGTCAAGGTAGCTCAAAACACTTCCGAGACTTTTGATGAGTTATTGTAACGACTCTTCATCAATTGATGCTACAATCATGGTATCAAAAATTCCAAGTCATAGATGAACACGTTGTTACCATTCTCGTCACAAAATTGGTTAACATAGCAACATGATCCGCCAAAAACACCCTTAATTTTAGCCTAAACTTTTGAAAGTAAGTTATTTTTCGTCCTCCCACGTACTGCTGCCATATCGGAAACCAAGTGATTACTGTTTGGTATCATTGCGACATAAGCATAAGCACACGAAAACAGACTGAACAAACAAACAAATTTCTTGAAGTTATTCTTATGTCGTGGTGATTCTTTTTGAGGACTACGTACATAATCAAAGACAGAAAGTGTTTCCCTCTTCCCATGCGTGTGTTTGCTTCTCCAGAAAGGACAATGCATCCTCAAAAGATCAAAGCACGGTTAAGGCTTTGAGCTTTTTAAGAGGGCCACTGCATTGCTGTTGTGATTACCCTCAAAAAATGGTAGTTATTACTACTGTCACGAAACCAAGAAGAAACTTTTTCTTTTATTTTATTAGCAAAACTCAACTATACAAATTGAACCTTCCGTAAAATTCTGATAACAAAGCCCTGTACTGAGTCAATATTTATTCTACCTTAACTTGCCTACATGTGCTTTATGTCATTGCGACTACTTTTCTTTATAGACTTTATAGGCAGTTTTTTCTGCAGCTGAAACCTTTCAGATACAAATTCCCTTCCAAGTATGAAAAAAAAAAAAAAAAAAACGATTTCCTTCAGAAATATGCTACCATCCCAGATGGTAACACGGGCCAAAATTAGAATCAGCAAAACAGTCATGTGGAAAAAAAGCACAGGGCTTAAGAACCAAACGTTTACGGAACTAAATTCAAAGTACTTTAAACCCAACATTTGGCTAGGCTTGAACTGCGCTAAGGACACTGTCACTAAACAGCGTGTTGGGCTCCGTACTAGAGAAGTCCGAGTTCGATCGAGCCATGACTGTGGAGGTCTGTGACACTGTAACAGTTGGGGGTGTGTTCATGATAAAACATACAGGCAGCGAGTGATAGAGCACAAATCTCCGATTTCCCTCAAGCTTGACAAAAATACAAATGTTGGGTTTGGTGAGTGAATGATTGTAGCAAAAATAGCAGGTCAAAATACTTTATTCCTTTTAAGTTGGAGGGAACCCTTGCAAAAACAGCTATTTGACACTAAATTGTGCATATTTAATTAGCTGGCGTTGGTTTCATATTTCTATGGCAAGAAAAACCATGTGAAAATGAAATCAACTGGATCATGTTCTACAATTATCAGTCTCAAAGCACAGAAATTCATTTAATCTAGGCAACTGACTTCTCTCCGTGGCTCCACCTAAGTAAGGTGCATATTTCGTAGTGTTGTGAATAGTCTTTGTAGCAAATCTCTACAACGAGCATCAGCAAATGCACATTATTCTAGCATGGGTGGTGAAGGCAATCACTAAAGTTCTCAAAAAAGTGATAACATTTTAGGAACTCATTTTTTTTTCTGTGCTGGGTACTGTTTACATAGGACTTTACAATTTATGGTCATTTTATGAACATTCACTAAAACACAAAAGCCGTTTTTCTGTCTTAACCTAACCCGAAATCAACAAGAAATAATTAGCTAATTCGGCTCTAGGAGCACTATAGAGACATTTAGTTCAAATATTTTAGAGTTATATTTTGTGGCACTTTCACGATATCGATAAATTCTTCAACAGAAGATTCAACTCACAAGTTCCCTCAACTTATGCTTTCAGGTGTAAAATATAATGGAAGCAAAGAAATACGGTCAGTGTAAAACGCAGACTGCGGACTGCAGACTGCTAATTAAATTTTCATAAAATTGTGGCAAATGGCCATTTCTACAGGGAACGTCCCTAACTTAAGGGGAATAAAATATCTTATTGACCTGCTGTTTTTGCTATAATCATTCACTCACTAAACCTTCCATTTGTGCCAAGTCTGAGCGAAATCGGTGACTTAAGCTGTATCACCTCCTGGTTTTCTCATGGACACGTTCTTAAAAGGAGAACGCTGCAACTGGAAAAGCACTGGAACTTGCAGGGATTCGAAAAGTCGTATAATTATGAAGCAAATGAATGCAACTTGTGTGTTGTTTTGAGTCAAATTGCACGAAACGTTTCTCAGTGCGACGTCCCCCAGAATTCTATAGAAACTCGGCAATATTCAACCATTTTCTTACGCAGTAACAACTACAAAACATAAATTGTGCTTTCCATTTAACCAGCGATTCCGGAAAATGGAAGGGTTCGGTCCTGCCGAAAAACGAAAATTCGGTATAAAAGGACCACCTGTGAAGGAGGTCCACTCTGACCGATCGCACCCATAGGGCCGGATTTTGCTGTTTCATTTTGACAAACCGATTTGTTGCCCTAATTTTCCCTTCAGTAGATTTTAATTATCGGGAATTGAAAACAGGGTAATTAAAAAAAAAAATGGCAAGAGCCATTCTTCCCGTTAGTCCGGTTTCATCGGAAAATTTTGTTCCATTTTACAACAACTGGCCAGACTGGTCAATCTGATTGAATGGACAGGACTAACAACGATAAATTTAACCAAGAGATTACCTTGATAATCTCTTGATTTAATCTATTCGCCCCTGGTCACACGACCTTCACAAAGTCTATACGGAAAGTTCAGCTTTGGTAGATATCAATCATCTCCGCCTCCTGTTCTCTGTTGAATAAAATCTCAAGAATATTGAAATCCTGTCTTTGAAGCTTATCAGGTTAAATTAAGGTGGCTCTAAACGGTTTCCAACACTTAGATTTGGATGAGTCGTTATAACCACTCTTTATCACTTGATGCTACAATCATGGTACCTAAAAACTGCTCAATCATTGGTGAACACGCTCTTATCATTTTCGTGGCACAATAGGTTACCATAGCAACAGCATGACCTCCTAAAAACACCGTTAATTACTGCTTTAGGGGCTTATAATTCAAAAACGGCACGGTGAAATTTTTTAAATTATCAACTTTAGATAAGCATGATAAGACGCAACTTTTGGCAAAGTTTAAAAAAATTCTGTACATGGGGTTCAGAGCCACCTTAATTTTTCGAAAATTTAAGGTGGCTCTGAACCCCATGTACAGAATTTTTTTGTCAGAATTCTTCTATTTCTTTAATTACATCCATTTACAACGAGAACGCTACGACGCCACGCTAATTTAAGGATATTTGATCTGAATTACCCATCTTTCGGCACACCTGCGGGGGATTTTGACTAAAAATTCTTCTGAAAAGTCATATGCCCCACATATGCTCGGGGTCCCAAGCCCCCTCGGGCTTAAAATTTAATTGAAAGGCGCATTTTTGAGTTAGCCATATGCCTTTATGAATATGTTCATTTTAAGGAGTGGAGTGGCTGCCACATAAGATTTCAGTCAAGAACACGTATCCAAATAAATATTTTTATATGTACCGTCGAAAAAATCTCGTCACAGATGGAACAGAGGAATTCTCTGATCTGTTTCTCACTCATCGAATGTTCTCATTGTGTCACTGCGGTCGTACTCTAACACAAGATATTCATGATATTCTCAAGTTCAGAAAAAATTGAGACGTCTCGAGTAAATGTTTGCGTACGCATTTGCAGCTAGTTCGGCAGAGAGGCAGAGATGACTGAATTCCACCAAAACTCCACTGGTTGTCTAGACTTGTTGCTCTGAAAGTCCCGTTTAACCGCAGACTCTTCTGCAATAACAGCCACTCCGTTCGTTGATAAGGTTATTTAAACTTCCGACGCACCGGTTAGGAGGAAAAGAGGAGAATGGGGGAGGTTCAGTGTCGTTTTTTAACAATGTGGATAAGGTTCTGATTAAACTTACGTATCTTCTAGAGGGAACTCCTTATTATAGGGGAAGGCTCCGTCCGAAAGAGATACCTTTTTCAGGTTTCAGGTATTTAAGTTGAGGCATACATAGGGTAGGAAAATCTGTCATTTAGGTATATAAAAGGACCTTTAATTGAAATATTTCAAGCAGGGACACCTTACGGCTGTATTTATTAAGCACTGCCAGAAAATGACAAGAAGACATTTTCGCAATGCAGTGTTCGTAAGTAGGTATATGGAAGGGGTGCCTTTTTCAATAAAAGGCACTCTAAAGGGGAATCTTTTCTTTCAAAATGGTATACAAAAGGGTAAGGGGTTGGACCTCAGAGTGGAGCCTCCCCGTATAAAACCTTTGTAGTGTACCCTCCCCTCACTTCCCGCCCGGGAAGTAGTTGTTCGTTCATCAAGGGTACCCAACGACGGTTTTCTCTCAAATGATTTCAAACGCTGTTTTAGGCTATCTGGAAAATAAATTTCGAATTCCCCTATCACGATAGTTCGAGGTGACAATTCTCTAAGAAAATCGCAGGGTATTAAAAGCCTTTCGAACTGATAATTTACCGAAACAATCGAAACAATCGAAACAATCCGTTGGGTACCTCTGGTTCATCCCTCGGTAGATTTTAATGTGATAATTGATAGTTCTCCCGGTTTTGGGGGGAGGAGGACTCTGATAGAAAAGGACGGCGTTGCTCGTCCGAAATTTTGAAAAGAACCCCTAAGAGGTACCAAGATCGTACTTTGTGGTACTTTGTGTACCAATCTTTAAATAACTCATTATCTCCTGTCATAATTTTTCTGCTCAATACCCTAAAAGGTCCCGCAAAAGCTTCCGCTGAGAACCTCTTAAGGCTGAACACCCTAAGAGGTACGACGAGCACCCCCGTCATTTTCATATAGGAGTTCCCTCCCCACCCCCCACCCTAGAGTATTCTACGTCTCAAAGATATCTTAAAATTGAATAAGCCCTCCCTCCAAACCCTCAGGAAAAGAAGATTAGTCTTCTTTATCTGTTGATTTGGCCATGTTGTCGTCAGCGGGGTGTTCTTCCGCTGGCCTCGTTTCCGTGAACCTTACCTTGCAAATGAAAAGAATAAATATGAACTTAATTTGACAAATTGATGTTTACTCTTAGTTGTAAATACCCATTTGTACCCTCCTCACCCTACCACTGTCCACTTCTATAGTCCCCATCCCAAAAACGATTTTTGTTTCAAGACAATTCCTATTGGCGCTGCTATGCTGCGTGCAAAAAAAAAGTTCCAAAGGAAACGGAATCCATAATAGGGAATAAAATAGTCATATAACTTGAAAACCATGAAATGATAAATGAACACTCAAATTAATGCATGGGAAGTTTAGATAGAAGTAGCCCGCTGAACAGGCGGATTACCAGACAGACCGCGAGGCGTGATCCACGAGCGTGGAACGCGACCACGAACGCGAAGCAAGAGTCGAAAAAAAATCCGCCTGTAGTCACACCATTGTTTATTCTCTTCCAGCGAACGGTTTTTGCTGATTAGTACATTTAAACCACGTGACATCAGACGCGAGAAAAAAAACAAGTGTGTTAAATTGTGGTGACAGGCCTATACGGACTCCTGTGGTTCGTGACATCTCTACATTTGCCGTTCTCTTATAGATTTCAGCCTCTCGACCTTTTATTTTTCTCCTCACTTATTTCTGAAGGCATTTAATGTTGTTGTGTCACCAGGAGGACTTTTTTAAAAGTAGAGTAGAGCTGTTGGATTGTTAGAGGTCAGAGCTCTACATGGTTTCAGCTGCTATCTATCGTTTTGTAGAGTTTGACACCTCTGGAATTTGCCATGTGCCGAGTTGTCCGGCGTCGCCAGAGACAATTCGAGAATCTTAGAGATTCGTTGTGTGTCGTCAAAGTTATGTTTCTTGCATCCTGAATATGTTCGAGTTTTTCGTCTCCTGAGCTCAATGTTTAGGTGTATAATTCATTTGTTCGTTCTGCTTTGCGTCATGTTTAACATTTGCAAACAGGTTTCTTATTTACTTGGCAGACATGTTTTGTTATCTCTCATTCTTTCATGTCAATCATTTCAAGGGGGCGGTAGAGCATAAACAATGGTGTGACTACAAGCGGATCTTTTTCGACTCGCGCTTCGCGCAAGTGGTGGCGCTCCGCGCTCGTGTATCGCGTTTCGCTCTCTGCCCCGCTAATCCGCCTGTTCTGTATGGGCGGCCATCACCACCAAAAATACAAGATTATTAAACGGCACAGAACAAACATAAATGGTTTAGTGATGGTTTGCGAAATGGAATAAATGATTGACGAATTATACTGTCTAAATACAAATAGTTAGGTGTTCTTGTGTTAAACGGTCTACTGAAACAGTAAATGATTTAGACAATTTAGAAATGGTTCAGTCACCGATA